GTCACGGATATATGATAAAATAAAAAATGTATTTATAAAGCATTGGATTAACTCAATTAATGATGATAACAGACAAAACACTAATACAAAAAACAAACTGAGGACTTACACAAAATTTAAAACAAACTTCATTTTGGAAAACTACTTAATTAAGCTAAAAAATAAAGAACTGAAAAGTACCCTAACTAAATTCAGACTGAGCAATCACAGTTTAGAAATTGAAAATGGAAGGCACAACAGAATCAAAAGTAGCGACAGAATCTGCAAATTGTGTAATAAAAATAATATTGAAGATGAACATCACTTCCTAATAATATGCCCAGTATATAGTAAAGAGAGGGTCATTTTATACAATGAAGCTGAAAAGATTATGCCTGACTTTACTAATCTCACACCTGAAAATAAATTCATAAAAATAATGTCAAATAATAACTTAACAATTCTTCTGGCACAATATCTGAAATACAGCTTTGTTATTAGACAGCAGCACCTACTTAGTCATTGACTTTTTTATACCTATAATGTGTTCATTGGGTTCTTGTTTTTATATTCAGTTTATAGTTTTTTTGTTGGTGTTTCATTTTATTTTATTATATATTTCCGTTACTAACTTCAATTTAGTCTGTTTTTGGTTGTCTTTTAAAACTGTTAGCCATTGTAATTTGATTATTTTTTATCTGTATTTTTTTTTTTGTAACCTTTAACCTCCTTCATTAGGTTGTTATGAGTTAATATATTGTTGTTGTTGATATTGGCGATCTTTACGTTTATGTTGAACCTCTTCTCTGACTCTCAAAAAAGAATGTGTGTGAAATGTTTCCTCTTTTCGTCTGTCAATTCGATTATAAATGCCTTGGCTAACTATGAGCGCGTCAATGCTGGCAATCACACTCGGGTGGGTGAAAAAGGCCATTATAAAAACTAGTAAAGTCTTATCACCGCCAGGTTTATGTACCTTAATCTTAATATCAATGGTGTTATGACTTTGCAAGGTCAGATGTACAATACGTTTCGTTGACGAAAGTTGCTCATAAGATAGCGGGTTGCCATTAGAGCAATGATTGCTCACAATGGACCCATATGGATCTATGGAAATAATTAATATATTTAAACTTTGCCCGTTGGTGTAGGCACTCACTTTGCCAGAGGTTGTTAAGGGCGCATCGTTGCTGTGCGTTGTTCGCCCTCTGTTTGTGTCGACCGTGGAAATGTTCACTGTGTATTGAAAGTCATTGACAAGTAAGTGAACTATAATTTTAATAGTATCTGAATTGACGGGGTCGGAACAAGTTACTCCGGTTGTTAAATAACAATTCCTCGCCTCCTGTCAACAGTCGCAACACGAGCAAGTGATTGATGAGAGCGTTATTTTTGTGCACATTATTATACACCTCTAATGCATGTGTTTTCAAAAGGTAGTACATTAGTTTGCTGTTGTCGTGTATTTAGTTAACCATAGACAACCGTGTGGTGGGAGCACGCTTTGGAAACGTGGCATCGTGGTGTCAACAAAGACTACTTAAGCACATGTATATTGTGTTACACTTGTCTGGTATGCGGCCATGTAAACTACTGCGTAACTCGTGGTGTAACGGGAGAGGTCTAGCTTCGAAAGCTAGCAAATCTGACGCGGAAGAAGTCACAAAAAACTGTACACACACTGCAATGTCGTCGCTCCATTGTTAGTTGTGCATAACAATTATTTGTAATTTTATTCGTTTATTGGAACCAGTAGTGATCACTTGTTTCATATGTAGTAATATTGTTTTGAGCACAGTTCTAGAACAAGTCCTCCAACATTTACAAGGTGGTGTGGATCACGACGTCACTTCCGGTTTACTTCCTGCTTTGCGTGTATAATGGCGGCCTCGAGCAGAGTTTTGCCACGAGAGCATTAAGTCTGTTTATTTGGTGCTACTGTAAAGGTAAACCTTTTCATAATCTTTTTTCGTATACTTTCTGGAAGAATATATAGCTAGCTTCCGCATACCGATGTGAAACTAGTTTAATACTTTCATAACTGTGTTTTTTTGTCAATGGCATTTTCAAAATGTAAATAGCCATTTCACGCGAATGACAGTATTAACCAAATCACCACCGTTCGTTTAATAGCCGTTTACGAAAAAAGTAACCGCATTTCATGTTATTTTTTGACATTTATGTTGTCTTTAGTATACTTACTGTCCAAAAATGCGAAGGCTCCCAAAGGCGCCCCTTTTTAATTCGGTGTTTACGCTCATTCTTTGAGGCCTATTGTTGGAGGACATTGCAACTTTGACCTGCATGCAAAATAAGAGATAGCTCCGCAAATTGTGTAATAAAATGATATTGAAGATAAACATCACTTCCTCATAATATGCCCAGTATATAGTAAAGAGGGGGTCATTTTATACAATGAAGCTGAAAAGATTATTCCTGACTTTACAAATCTTACACCTGAAAATAAATTCATAAAAATAATAACTTAACAATTCCTCTGGCACAATATCTGAAATACAGCTTTGTTATTAGACAACAACACCTACTTAGTCATTGACTTTTTTTTATACCTATTATGTGTTCATTGGGTTCTTGTTTTTATATTCAGTTTATAGTTTTTTTTTTGGTATTTCATTTTTTTATTATATATTTCCGTTACTAACTTCAATTTAGTCTGTTTTTGGTTGTCTTTTAAACTATTAGCCATTGTAGTTGTTGTTGTTGTAACCTTTAACCTTCTTCCTTCTTCAGTAGGTTGTTATGAGTTAATAAAATTGTTCTATTGTCATGTTGGCCCGCCCTGAACCGATTGTACTGCTAACGCTGTTCAACATAACAATAGGGTCTTGAATAAATTAATTGCGCAGTACGCCATCTTGTTCAAGTTAGCACCCACTTTTGATGAAACTGTTAAGTTTTATCAAGGATAAGGATAAAAGGATAAAACACCAAATTGGCAATATTATTGACAATTGTGACTCAATAATAGAAATATGTTGTATATCTTTATATATACACACTATATAGTCTCATCAAATGCAAAGACAACAAGTCTTTTCATCGTGGTCTTGTCGGTCAGTTGTCTACTTAGTAATCAGGAGGACCGTTGTTCAATTCCAAGCCATAACTGACTTTTCTCAAAAAGACTGGTTAGTACGAGTTTTAATAACATCACGTCGCCACTGGTTTAATCGGATTTCTCATTCCAATTTGATGCTCTATTATTTTACCACTCTGTCGCTCAAAATATTGTTCTTGAAAGACACAGTCCATATTTTGCTTCTTAGCGTGCATGACTAGGGTTGCAATTCATTCCAGTCAACAAGCACCACAACAATGACTCCAGTGAGTTTTTTTTTCATTATCAAGTCAAAGATAAAAACTAAATATGAATATCCTTGGACTATAAAAAACAAAAATTTGGGTAAATAGCAAAAATTATAAAAATATTTTACTTTAAATGTCGATAGTCGTTGCGCCACGCATGCGCGAGATGTATGGGTCTCATACACATAAACATTAGCGACTTTGAATGTTTTCAAGTTGCAATACGAACGAGCTTTAATTAGGTATTTGTAGGTGATTGGAAGGTATTAAAGGAGTTACCGGCGGTAATTAGTGCAAGTCGCGCCCAGGTCAAACCTTATATTTGTGATTTCCATTAGAAAAGGGCATTGGATTGTGGGAAAACTAATGTTTATCAACAATCAACAATATGTTTTATATCAAACATACAATCCAGTTCCAATACAAAGCTTATCCGAATATAAAACATAATAAACTCTAGCACAGATTTGATTAACAATCAGTTGTCATCTGTTGTCATGCAGATTTATAGGTTTTACTTTACTCAATTGGAAATTATCTTAATTGCTCCATTTGTTTCACATTTCAAATCTGGGATTTGTGCAAAATTCAAAATCTTTAGCGACTTTACCCACCATGGACTTTTGTCTTGTTCAAACATCACACGTACCGTTGTTTTACATACGACAACTCTAAAATCATGTCATTGACTTTTAAACTTTAAATCTACATCAGTCACGGTTCACAAAACGAGATAAGCAGTCCACGAAACAAGGGAGAATTTCAATTATATAATGATATGGAAATCAAAAAATATTCGACCATTCGATATTGTTTCAAGAAAGTTATTTTAATGATGAAAGGTGCTGTTATTGTAGCAAAGTAATCATTTCATGGATCCGTAAAATTCTCCAATATCCTATTATTTTTGGTAGGGCAATTATGAAAATCACTATATATTCCCACAAAACAGAAAAAAATTAAGAGTCAACACGCACGAACTGAGTTGTATGTATATATATTACAAAATTAATATTCATTGGTGTAAGAATAATACATCTGAATGATAACAGAGGATAACGCATGCAAGAATATTGCTGGACCATAGTTTGATTAGATGCAAAATTGTGCTATTAAAATTTGACCTTGTATTTTTAATATTTAAGGGTGAATACAATTTGATCCATACACGAGGACCTCAGTGATTCAACTATGGTCAAATGGTAAACAACGTACATATTTCAATATTGGAGGAAACGTACACAGAACATCAATATTTAGAAATAAAAACATACAGATTTGCCTACAAAGTGAAAACATAAATCTTACAGCTTTACGTTTTCAATTCCAGCATTTCAGCATTAATTGATTGAAAACCACATGGTTTCCAAAGATAGAACTCTGCACTGGATTTATATAGTATTTATATAGTGCGGGTATTTCAGTACTCATGTGCACAAGTAATCTTCATCAAATTCCATTGTTCACATTACGATATAAAAAACGTACCTAAAATTATTCAAATTAAAATGGTGCCTTCAAGAACATAGTTGGGGTGAAATCGAGCCGTTACTTCATAACAATAAGTTAACTCATTTTCATAATGTATAAATTGGCTGAAAACCACAATGTTGTATACATTTAAATGGCGGTAGTCGTCGCACCGCGCATGTGCGACATTTGTATGTGTTGATAAACATTCATTTTCCAATCCAATGCGCTTTTCTAATAAAATCACGAGTACCAGTTGTGCCCTGGGCGCCACTTGCACTAATTGCGCCAACCACTTTTTTGATACCTTCCAAAAATCACAAAAAAACGCCTAATTAAAGCATGGTAATCTCTCAGTTTGTACAAGTTGGTGTGCTCAACAGTAAAAATCGCCGTCTTTGTTTATACGTGACCCATATCTCTCGTCTTGATGCTCGGGCCATATACTCACCAGTCGCCAGACGGGAAAAGGGTAAGATGTGTGCCTGCAGTTTATGTGATTTAATATATATAACCTATATGAAAGTAAACATAGTGTCATCCAAATCACGCTATGGCAACCGATTTATCTATTCATACGTGTTGTACTGTAAACCCGAGCCGCAGGCGAGTGCATATATGGAGTGAATTCTGCCATATCGAGTGGTATACCCGCCTTCGGCGAGGGTGTTATTGCTATTATATTATACCAGTATATTGGCAATTCGATAAAACCAGTAAAACAAGAGTTCACTTGTATGTAATTTAGGTCAATGTGTACGTGTCTTGAACCTGAATAATTGTAAAAACTGTATGTAGTTGTACACTGAATTGTTCATGATTAAACACTATATTTGACACAATGCTATAGATGTTTGTTCATTCACTCACCGCCGTACGACCCTGAGTGATTGACACCTGTGCCCGTGGACGTGTGCGACCGGCTGACACAGACTACACATCTAATACCAACAATCTGTTTCAGTCAGGATTCGAATGCACGTTTGTGCATTCTTCGCGTAATGAATTAGGAACGTTAATCAACATTGGGAAAAGTCGGAATGTGACAATGTAGCAAGATGCTTTCAATTTGTCCCCAAGTTAAATGATCGACTTCTTGCACTTTATATATACGCTAAATTACGAACAATAAACTCATGGAGTATGTCCATGATAAACTGTTGTTGGGCGGCAGAGCAATCTGATGCAATCTGATCAAAATCGGATGTAGTGTACGGGCTTTAATTATTTTGGCTATAAACTAATTTTTCATTTTATTTTCTATTGCTTTTGTTATTAATGTCTTTTCATTTCATTTTGATTTTGAGATTTTGTTTTAATTCCGCCCTACATATATCTGAGCCTCTGCCTATGTGACGAGAATTCAAGGAGACCTACTATCGACGATTTTAGTAAACAAATCACAGACCTCCTTCTATAGCGCACTTGATGACGTCACCAGGCAGTCAGGTCGCAAACACAGCCCACTGTTGGATGTCAATTTGAGAATTGTCGATCTCTGCGTTTAGTGAGAGGAACTGTCGACTTGGAGTAACAAAGGCCTGGCTCAGGAAAAGATCGTCCGACGACATTCTAGATAATATGATATTCAGGCGTAGAGCTGGTCGAACAGTAACGAAGCTTAGTTGATAAGCGTTTTGGATTGAGTCCACCGCGTAACAGCAAAAACTAAGAGATATGGAACGTTGTAAACAGAAATGTTGGCACTACATAAAAATCAGCTGCTTGCTGCATGCCTTGCTAGCTGTGCACTGAGAGGGATTACCAATGTAATGGCAAACGTATAAGCTATGTTTACTTATTTAAAGTGGCCAGCGGTGATTGGTTACAATGGGGCACACCCATTCACTGCCTCTGAGGAATGCAAATGAGCAGCTACCCCATATTTAAACCTGGTTAAATATTAACCTAACCAAATATAATGGTGGATTATACCGACGTTAGTGACGAAAACGATCGGGAAAAACACGGCTTTTCGGTAAATTTATCATTGCCAAATGCAACGAAAGTCATCTTTGATTTTTATGTTTATATTGTGGCTTGAATGGTTCAAGTTTAGGTCGTTGATTTGCGTAGTTATTCCGGGAGTGACGATTTCTTTTCCGCTTGTTCGACTGAACACCGGTATCTTTTTCCAGTAGCTTGCCCT